AGACCGAGAGAGAGAGAGAGAGAGAGAGAGAGAGAGAGAGAGAGAGAGAGAGAGAGAGAGATATGAGAGAGCATGTAGGTCTATCTAGGTCACTTCACGGTCGCAAGTGAGCAGATGAGAGAGAATGTTGGTCTATCTAGGTCACTTCACTCGAAAACAACATCCGCATAAAATTAGGATAAGGCTAAATTTTGAAGTACAACGTGCATACGTGTCACATTTGTCGGAATTGAATCTAATGTTTAGTGTTAGCGGCACCTATTTTTATGCCAAAAAAACTCACAGCGCACGACCGCTTCATCCTATAGTATCTAAAATCATACCATTGGCAATCTAGTTTATTCCGTTTCAATAACTGTTGCGTGAAATGCAGTACATGAACAGAACGGCTTCGTTTTCACACTTATTTATCTTGGCAGTGTGTGTAATTTACGCATTAGAATCTAGCCTTACCACACACGGATTTCCACACCCCATCTTGTTCCGGCTACAAGCCCTGTGGCACGGATGGCCTGAAACAAAGAGACAGAACAATTTATAACTTAGGTTCATATACATTTCTTTCGTACTAATATCTTGTAGGACGTTTACTACGATCAAATTTACGTACATTAGTTAACGCATGATGCACTGAACACGGTTAACGATACACTTAATTGTGACTGTGTGAGGAAACAGGCACCAGTGTGTGAAAAAACTACTGAAGAAACCAGTGTGTGAAGAAACTGTGTGAAGAAACACGCACCAGAAGCTTAGCCTCATATTTGTGTAAATTAATGTCGTTTCCAGGGTTACTAAATTACTAACGATTTCCGTCGTGTAGTTTTTATGCGCAGTTGTGATAGCATTGCTATACGGATGGGTTATCAACTCATCATATACATTTAATAAAAATGTGAGAATAACCAGGATGTTTATTTGTAACTGATCGTTACAAGAGCGAGCTCGTAAACATTATGTTTGTAGATCAAACCCGGTGAGTGGATTTACTGTGTGTAATAAATCGCCTAAAATACGTCAATAATATATATAGTCATTGAATTTTTATGATTTTATAAGTATACGCATGTTTATCTCGTCTAATTCATGATGCTATAGAAAACATAAAGATTTGAAGCCTAGAGGCGTGTTCGACGTTTAAATCGAATACTGCGAATATTAGGTATATCCCTATAAGTTTGCATTGCATGCGATACATTTGGTCAACGAAAAACATGAGTATCCCACGCGCTACAATAATATGGACGACCTGACGATTGTTTCTATAACAAATTAGAGAAAACTAAATCATAATTAATTGTAACAATAATAATAAATAATAAAAATAACTATAAATTAAGAAAATAAGAAAATATTACAAAATAGGTCTGTACTGCGCGTGTGCGTGCGCGTGCGTGTATGCGCGCGTGTGTAAGTGCGCGCGCAGGTGTATGCGCACGTGTGTATGCACGTTTGCGCGTAAGTGTACGCGTATGCGTGCGTATGTGCGAGTATGCGCGTATTCGTGTGTGCGCGTATGTTTGCGTACGTGTGTGTCTGCATGCGCACGCGTGCGTGTGTGTACGTCGGCGCGCTATTTCGGTTATGAGTACGCTACCCTACTGCATGGGTGTGTTAAATCAAGTCAGAGTTTCAGCATGTGCGGCTGTAGCGGCAAGGTCTTATGTTACAGACGGATCCGCTGGGGAGCATCGCCACGTCTAGCCGGTGGACCGTTTTATTTAGCATCGCAACAGCAGCAGGCTGCTGGTACGTTAAGATGAACGAGAACGGAAGACAGCCGCTGTAAATGCAAGTTACAAAAAACATCCGTGGCCCGTTTTCATGAATACACAACCCCCACGGCATCAACGGCATATGGGGTCTAAATAAAGATTGAACTTCAAATAAGAAATACATTTAATTGTGAATTGTGCTCGTGAAGGCTAACGCAGATACTAGCCGTTACCAGTAGCATCGAGTAGCCCGCCGGCTACTTATACGGTTCGAATGCGACTAGGTATTTAGGAACTTTTTAGTCTAATTTAACCACCAGTCTGGGGATAGGAAGAAACTTTCGTCATGTTTGGGTATGAATAGTGTGGGGTTTGTCTTTGCCCCTCTAATGTACTCTTTCTCTGACCACATCAGCTCCAGATTTCCCACTCTCCCACTCTCATTTTATCTCTATCTCTCTCGCTTTACATCATTTTTTCTCCACACTTTACTTTCGCCCGCATCGCGTTAACTAGCGTTGTCGCTCTCTCATATTGTACATCACACAGCTATTTAGCTTCTCATTTATGTAGTTTTTGTCCGACTAGCGTATCCTGAACGGCAGGAGATAGTAGCAGGGAGAAGTAAATAATTACTCATGGATGACTACATCACAAGAGAGTAATACCGTGTCGCGAATACTTATAATTATTGTCAACAAATTACACATTTTCAGTGTCACGAGAATTGGATCACGCAACCTAGGCTGTCAACGTTAGGGTTGAAGACGTTTACGACAGAGTCTAATTGTGAGATAGACGAAACAGTATGGCTTTGAACATTTGCCGGAAATGAATGCGACATGACGAAGCTTGGGCTGTCCTAGCTTATCACGACACACACCGTAATGTGGGGCAAATATCGATCAAATAAAGGCAAATCACGTTATGCTGATGAGCGATCGAACAGTGCAAGGCCGGAATGCGCGACATTGAGGCTTGTGTCGACTCCACGGGACGTATATCCGTAGCGCTGACATTAGTAGATTTGACTAGCGTATTATTTGATATATATATATATACACTAGTGTGCGTATGTCTGCGCATCCAGATTCTATCAGCGTCTTTCTTCATCTGTAGTTACAGGTTACTGTGTAAACTGCAAAATGGAAAACAAGCATCATCCTGTTTTGGAGGGAAACAGGAATTTGACGCTAGCATGTTTCCGTTACAGCTTCCGCTGATAGAAGGTTTAAGTGTGCTTTAAATATATCACAACGATGCGAAGTTCGCATTCATGCATCATTGCAGCGCATCGCCTATCAACTCTGCACTTCGTAGCGCCGACGAATAAGAGTCTACCAGCTTCTAAACATTACATCATAATATAATACGAGTAATAACCCCTGTTATAAACAGACACATGCACTATAGCATTATTATTAGTCAACGTATATGTTTGCTACGTATTATACCGCGCGCATCCACGTTTATATACTACGCCGCTGCATGGAGAGTCAAAGCACAGCATCCACGTTCACGTACCTTATCGGCGAGGCTTTACGAATAAGAACTGCTGGGTTATGTGTGGAATCAGCGCGGAAGTAGAAAATCGAGCCTATAGAACCAAGCTTCGAACGGTACGACGATTTCCGTCACGATGCCGTGAATACCGAGCTTCACCGCACGGCTGTGATAACCCTCAATTCTTCTTCAGACTCCCGTTACGATATAAATATACGCGCGAAGAAATG